GTCCCACCCAATATTTGCCATCCTGTTTTTTATTTGCATGTTTTTTGCTAAATCTGGCAACCCACGCACACGCAGCAGGGAGGGAGTAGATGGCCTGAGAGGCAGGAGTGAGAAACGCACGGAAAGTCTTGTTCCTCAGGCTCCAGGCTCCTGGGCTAAGGAACCCACCCGCAGAGGGGTGCAAGGATGGAAGCAGGCTGGGTGGGAGGGAGCGCCCCACCTGCCCAACTGCAGTTTCCCTGAGACTGGCCAGGGGCAGCATCCAGTGCAGCCGCAGCCGCCACTGAACATACCTTTGCTGGGACTCTCTGTACCTCCTTCGGGGCCCTTGTGCCCTGTGACTGCTCCCGCAGGTGGTGGGCACACCACCCTATACGCAGGGAGCTGGGCTGTCCCCACCCAGCTGGGCTTCGCACCAGGCCTCCCCTTTCCCAACAGGCAGGGCCCCACGAGCAAAGGAAATGGACGGGTGCCTCCAGAAAGGCCAGGAACTGAATCTCCTCAGCGTCCTGCCCCTGGAACCAGCGCTGGGGTACGGTTTGGAAGAGACCAGTAGCACAGGGTCACGTATTCCTTTTCATTTGGGTGGTTTTTGTTTTTTACAGTGCAACTCTGAGTCCAGCCCCTCGCCCCAAATGACGCCGTCTTAAAACCAGACCCCGAGTTTAAGTCCAGAGGCACACTGCACGAGTGACCGTGAAGTCTTTCCCACCTTTCCATTTTCTTCTGGCCAGCACAGCCTCAGAGGGTTTCCCATCCGGGCCTGGACCGGTGATCTGGTACCACTCATTGTACCTGCAGGTATGTCTGTCTGTCTGTTTTGTAAATTAAGTTTAAAATAACAAAGTAGACTGGACAGGACCCAGTGAAGCAGGAGCTGAAAGGCACAGAGCAAATATAAAGATGCTATTCGGTACCGGGTATGAGGTAAAATAAAATAAAGGTAGTTTTCAAAAACTCCCAACTTCTCTCACTACAGGTCTCTTATTCTCCCCTCTTCAGGAGAAATCAACAGAAAAGGAGACCCTACTTTCCTATTTGGCCCTGCCCTCCTACTCCTAACCAAATATGATGTTTTTGATTTCTTTTTCCTCTAAGAACACTTTAAAGGCCTTGTGCACACATTTGTTTTGATAACAGATGCTGACAGAGGAAGAACCTACAGCTAGAGATCTTCCTTCTCCCGCCAGAGGCTGCCCCCAACACTCTCCCCTGAAGGAAATGGTTAGGCTGGGGGAAGGGAGCCGCAATACAGGAGTGTAACTTTAGCTCTCACCTTGGAGTTGACCCTCAACTTTCCTCAGCTCCTGAGCCCAGGTCCTGAAAGGCTGGCTGGGCTGGTTCAGGCTGCTGACTCAGAAACACTAAGTGTTGAAAGATGCCACACTTCCCAGGGTATTTTCATGGGGGACTGGAAAGGGTGTGAGGGGGATGAAGAGGGAATTTAGGAGACTACGTGAATCGATGGTACATATGTAAAGAAGCTTAAATTATAATTTGGGGCTTAAAAAGATCTTATAATTCCAGGCCAGCCATAGATGATCATCAAAGAGCAGGGGGAAATGTACACCCAAAAAGAAAAAAAAAGAATGCTTCAACCCAGAGCTAGAAATAATAACATTAGAATAGGTAAATTCTCCTTAGAACCATCGCCACATGGAAAGGGACGGGAAACACACTACACCGTTAGATAAAATAACTCCAGTCCTTTAAAGAATCGGAAGCAGAACTTGAAGAAGAAATTCCTTCCAGTCGCAAAACTGAATGTTGGTGTTGATGTGGCACTCCCTGAACAGCGGGTGCCTCTCCAGCGGCGCCCAGCCAACAGACCTTTCTCTAGGGCAGTGGTTCTCAACCTTCTGGCCCTTTAAATACAGCTCCTCATGTTGTGACCCAACCATAAAATTATTTTCGTTGCTACTTCCCAACTGTAACGTTGCTACTGTGATGAATCGTAATGAAAATATCTGATATGCAGGATGGTGTGAGGCGACCCCTGTGAAAGGGTCGTTTGACCGCCAAAGGGGTCGCGACCCACAGGTTGAGAACCGCTGCCCTAGGGCATGTGCTTTTCACCTGCATTCGTAGCTAACAACAACAACAACAACAACAACAACGAAATTTCCACAGTTACGGACTGAAGCAGCCCTTTTTTGAAAGGCCCAACCTAGACACAGAGATCACAGATCTCCATAATTTTCCAGCAGATACAGATTCCTGATGGTCTGGGAACTTACTGTAACATGCCGACCTGCCATGTGAACAGAGCTTCACTTACTTCTCTGCATGTAGCGAACTACTTGTCCAGGAGTCCCTGATATACTTCGAACTATGCCTGGTATGCTACACGCAAATAAATCACAACACGCACAACTACAGAAAGGTATGATATATATAGCAACCAGCAGTCTCACCCAGGCGGTTTCTCCACGCGTACACTCCAAATGGACTTCCTTACAGAGCAATGCATGGAAACGATCCACTTGCATGCTTGCCTTCCTCATGAAAACAACTACTCTGTGTGTGTTTTCTTGCGCCCCCACATCATCGGATTGGTGATTGGCATTTTTAATGGAATTATAGGGTCAAACCAACTGAAAGAAGAAAATAAAAGTTATATAAATGAATGTGTAAGGTATGTAATGTGACCAGCTGGAAACTGAGCCCTTGGTCCCTGATGGCTCAGTCTCCCAAAGCCACCAACGACTCCAACCTCTCTCATGGTACATCCAATTCTCCTTTGCAATTCCCTGTTCTCGATCTGGAGGACTCAGGCTGTCCCTGAACACTCAGAATAACAGAGAGGGCACCGGTCTGGTTTGTCCGGTGAAATCAGTCTCCTTTTATTCTCCCAAACCTGCATCCTTCTGCTGCTGCCCCCGCAGCAGGTGCTGCCCCGCCTTTCTTCCTGCCCTCGCTGCCCTCCTCCTGGCTTGTTTTTGGTCTTGTGACTCTTTAGAAACCATGAACTTTGGGTATCCCAAAGAATGGTTTGACGGGCACAGGATGTGGACAGAATCTTCTCTTGAATTGAGACCCCCAAACTCGAAGCCCTATTATTATAGGAGTGCTGCTGGGCAGGTGGCCATTGCAAAATGCTACCTACGACTGCCATAAACTTAGATTCCTGCTATGGTGTTGGAGGCAATGAATGTTACAAGTCATTGGCATGAATCAACTTCTAGAAGCGAGACAAAACATTCCCTGTTACTTGTTCTAACCTAAAGGGGAAAGGCAAAATAAACCGTCTTTCTCTCTCCCTCCTATTCTTCTGTGGCAAACCTACAAATATGAAGAGATCAGATTGAAAGGAGAGAGACAACTGGGGTGGGGTGGGGGGCAATACTCAGAGAAATGCTTACATCCTACTTTGGATTAAATATCCACAAAATCCAGGGCAGCAGATCTGTGCCTGCAAGGCTGCCTGTCCACTGACCCCCAAACCAGTGAGTGCATCTCCCCAGCTCCACACATCAGTCAACTGCTCCTGAAAGCCCCTCTCCAAAAGCCAGCAGTTTTTGCAGACTTCCACAAACTCCTTGGAGGTGTGGGGGGTGGAGGGGTGTCAGAAGTTCTGCCACCGTCCTACCTTTGAGGCTCTGCGCCTTATAGGGCCTTCCCTCGAAAAATTCAAGCAAATCCCTTTATCCCCTCCCCAAGAGGATCGGAGCTTTTCCTTTTCTTTCCTATTTGCCTCACCAAACACATGTCAATTAAACTCCAAGAGCCTAAAATCAAAGGAGTGCTTGGGCTGGGCAGGACAGCACGCTAGAGATTCCCAGGAGAAAAGAACCTCATCTGGGGTTTGCAGACTGGAGACCTGGAGGGGGGAAAGGGATGGAAGCAATGGGGTGGGCGGAAACCTGTCCACCTCCAGAGCTCAGGGCGGACCCACTCTCTCTAATGCACAACACAGGAGGAGAGGAAAGAAGAGCGCTGGGAGGTGAAGAGAAGCAAGAGAGTCTTTGCTCCATATCTTAGAGCATGAGGCACAAGCCTCCTAGAATGGCCTTCCTCCCCGCAGTCAAGTTTTTGGTTTGTTGTGTTAGTGTTTGTGTTTATGTGTGTGTGTGTGTTTCAAAAAAAAAATGTTTTTATTGATTTCAGAAAGGAATGGAGAGAGTGAGAGAGATAGAAACATCAATGATGAGAGAGAATCATTGGGAGCCTCCCGCACACCCCCAATTGGGGATTGAGCCCGCAACCACAACAGGGCATGTGCCCTTGACTGGAATCAAATCGGGGACCCTTCAGTTCACAGGCCAGACACTCTATCCACTGAGCCAGACCGGCTAGGGCCGCAGGTCAAGTTTTGTTTGTATTTCTTTAAACCACAGAGACAGCTGAAGGCGGCCTGAGGAACCTATTGAAAGACCTGAGCAGTTTTGCAAAAGAAGCTCACTCTGGCCACACCAGATTCTGGGTCCTCCCTATCAGTTTAGAAGCCTTTCTGGCCTTTTGTACTATTGCTTCTAAATGAGACTTCTTTCAACAAAGTGCAAGACGCTGCAGACCACAGTGCGCTACCAGGCAGGCTTGGGGTTAGCTCCAGTTCCCTCGGGGCCAGGCGAAGAACGCCCTGCTCGCAGTCAGCCAAGCCTCTTGGGCCTTGGCTCCGTCCTGCACCTACACGTCCCGCCTCTCTAAAAAGCCCTAAGGCGGGGACCCCCCTGAGTACCCCCTGGGCGGTGTGTACGCCCGCGTGGGTTTTAATTTGGACCTGTCACGACCACTTTAGTTACCCGTCGCACAGTCCCATCGTCTGGCTAGCCCCAGGCGCCTTTCTCGCGGGCGTCCGGGTTCCACCTCCCGGATCCAGACGGAAAGCCGGCAGCTGCCCGGAGAATAACCGGCCTGGCTGGCGGAGTTTGGAGAGGAAGCCCCGGCAAGGCCCACTTCCCCAAACCTGCCTCCCGGGTTCCCAAGCAGAGCCGCAGCAGGAGCTCCCCAGTGTTTCCGCCCGCGCGCTGGGCCCGGCTCCCCGCCCGCAGCCCTCCTACCTGGCTTGGCGAGCGGCGTCTGCAGCGCCCCGGGCTGGGGCTCGGCGGCCCAGCGCAGCGCGGCGGCCGCAGCCAACTCGGCGGCAGGGCGCGGCGGCTGGGACGGCTGCGAGGTCGGCGGCTGCTGCGGGGCGGCGGCGGCGGCGTCCCCAGACGGCGGGGGTCCCGGCAGGGCGCGCAGCGAGTCGGGGATGAGGCTCTCCAGGCTCTCGTTGGCCTGCTGCCGGCGCAGTGCCACCTGCGCCGCCATGACCCGCTGCCGCTCGATAATGAGGATGCACTTCTCGCACGTGCAGTCCTTGAAGCGGCAGTAGCGCTTGTGGCCCTTGAGCCAGGACAGCACGCCGTGGTTGCGGCAGCGCGCGCACTTCGGCGTGCGTTGCAGGGGCGCCCGCGGCGGCTGCGACACCGGGCCGCCCATGTACAGATAGGGGGAGCCGTAGCCGTTCATACCCCGGGCTCCCCGAAGAGCTGGCGGGCCGGCGGCGCGAGCGGGCCAAGGGGCGCTGGACGGCGGGGCTGGGAGGCCCGCTCAGGGGCGGCCTCGAGGCGGCCGCGTGCGTCCCGAGGCGGTCGGAGGTGCAGCAGCCCTTTTACGTCTCCCGTGGCGCTCGCAGCCCCGGCCTCCGGCGGGGACGCCGCCAATCCCACGCCGGGCGCGTCTCCGCGGCTGCTGCTCCGGCCGGCCCGTCCTCCCTCGCCGAGAGTTTCGGCGGCTGCAAGGTGCCGGCCACAGCGCTGGTTAAGGTCTAAGCCAGCTTGGCCGCAGTTCCAGCGCGCTGCCAGGCCCAGCACCTCCTCCACCCCCTCCCCCCTCATCCGCCCTCCCACTGCACCCCCCCCCACACACACACCACAGTCCCAGTCTCTCCGCACTCCCCACCCACTCCACGCCGTCCTCCTTCCTTGCGCCCCTGGAGTAGCTCACAGCACCTTTCGCGCCACCTGCAGCCAGGCGGCACCCACGGGGGCGCTCACGGCCCCTCCTCCAACCCCTCCGCGCTGTCCCTGCCCCGGCTGCAGGGACAGTGGCGCTCCGGACGCAGCGTTGCCCACCGGGCGGAGTGAGGGTGGGGGTGCCTGCAGGAGAGTGGGGTGGCCGCTCCCCTTCTCTCCCTTCCCTTCCCTCCAGGTTTTGATTTGCGGCGCCGAGCCCGCTTTTATTCCAACGCTTGGCCTTAGAAACTCGGCTCCGCGAGAACCAGAATCTACCGTGGAACTTATTCGAGAAATTTTGTCTCTTTATATCGTTTTGCAACTTAAAAAAAAAATCGTGCTGCTGCAAAAGAAAAGGAATGTTTTTGAAAACTTGCTGGCCCAAGGATAAAACCCCATTTTGCAGGCACAGTCCGCCCTCTCTGGCGCCGAGTTTATTCCTGTACCCTCCTCCCAAGTTTTAATGAACAATCGCAGTCCCGAACGGCGTGGGGAACGCTCGTGCGGAGGACTTTCTTAAGTGCTGGGTCTAAACTTTCAGAATGGATTAGGGGCCATGATAACGCTCAAAAGTTACTGGATCTGATCTCCCCTCTGCCCAATAGCCACTGACCCATCAAACGGAGACCCCGCGTCACCCAGTTCAAATCCCCACGGACTCGATGGCTAGGGGTGGCGCCATTTCTCTCCCCCACCCCATTGTCTTTGGGTAGGCGTGGAAGGGATCCCTGCACAAGATGACAACATAAAACTTCGTTTAAATTGTTATTTGTGTGTTTCTAATCTCCTAAGAGTACCCTTTTGGCCTAATGCAGACTACTGCCGTAAATACAGGGACGACAAAACACCCCCTCCCCCAACAAAACAAAACTAAACACAGGTGGATACAGCGACTCGGGGCAGAGCTGGGCGGTTCGGATAATCCGACGCGGGAGGAGAGCATTGACTGGTCCGCTGCAATGGTCAACCTTTAGGCCGGCCGCGCCCTTTTCCCCTAGGGGAGGCCGCCTTTCTCCGCCCTGAAAGCAAACAAGCTACCGGAAAATGTCCCTCCGTGTTTTCTGCGAATTCAAGTAGTCAAACCCCAGCTTGGAACAGTGATTCCAGGAGGGGAGAAGGGTTAAAAAGGGACCCCGGTTGTATGCTTCCCCTAGAAGCCACCTCCGGCTCAGACCTCTCCGGGACTGGGGGATCGCTGTATGCTGACCTGGTGGGGCCTGGGCAGGAGAATGCTAACCCTGGACGGCCTCCCGCCCCCTCCCCCCCAAGCGTGTGGGGCACGAACCCCGTCTGTCCTCTTACCATCCCCACCCCCTCACCACCACTACCTCAATCCTTCCTTTCTTCCCAGTGTTCGCTAGGAAAACAAGCCCTAAGACACTACAACTGTAAGGAACTTCATAAGCTCTCAGGACTGGAGGTAGGTCACCCGCAGCCCAGTGGGCCAGAGGCCGGGCAGTGGGGAGTTGGCAGTGAGTCGCTTCACGTGACAGACACAGAGAGACTAGAATGACACTGAATCTGGGAACGTTAGTTCGCGCTGAAATCTCTCGGGGTCTCTTGGCCTCGGAGGGTGTGGGGCGAGGGACCATGGACTGCGAAACCGGGACTATAAAATCCTTGGGAATAAAGTTGTTGTTGTTTTTTTGTTTTGTTTTTTTTTAAGGAAAGCAGCAGACCTGGGCACCAGGTTTTGGGGCGGACAGTCCCACTTGCTAGGCGACCCCCTCCCCCCCCCCTCCCCCCGCGGTCACCTAGCCACCCTATCCCCTTTGCCACTCAAACAACTTGGCATTATTTGGTCCCGGACTGGTTCACTCCAGTGCACATTGGGGGCTGAGACCTAAATACTCATTTGATATAGCATAATAATCCTTTTCTCATATTTGATGGGAATGTTTTCCATATCCCAGTATTTGACAACATCTCCCTATAGGGACAGGTTTGTATTTATGTTGGTAAAACGTCCCCTGCCTCCAAGTCTATTGTAACCCAACACCTGACAACCCCGAGCCCCATTTCTGTTTGCAGAAAGGGTTTATTCAAGCACATAATGGGATCCCAGCAGAAAGCCTTTTAGAACAAGGGGCTCTGGTAAACTTCACCACATGAACTCCGTTTCCAGGGCTATTAAGCTGTTAATTGGAAAATAGCAGAGGAAATTTCAAGGTGACTATAACGTGTTAGCAGTTAGTGCGGAGAAGAAAGGCCGGAGCGGGAATGAATGTGGAAAGCATATGGTCCGAATCACGTTTAGGAGGAGCGGCCTGCTTCTAAGTCCCGGCGGCTTATACACGTATGGGAAAAACAATCAAAGACATTGGAAAGGGAGGGGGTAGGGTTACAAGTAAATGTAACCTCACTAGCCTGGACCCACTCGCGTTCTGCTCTGGGTGGGACGTGTGTTTTCAAGCCAGTTAACTGGGGAGCACTGTGACCGATATTAACAGTGGAAGAGAATGCGCCTACGCGGTTCTCTCCCTCGGCGCGCACAGTCTCACGGTGTGTGTATCCATCTAAAAGCTTGAGGAATGCAGGTGTCCTTGCTGAGAAACTGAGGATGTTCTGACTCCGAATCTGGGAGTCCTGCCAGCGGCGCCTCACCTCAAGAAACAATCAAAAGGACAGTTTCATGTTGTCCCGATTGTGTAATACATCAGGGCATTTTCTGCTTTGCTGGATTCTCATGGAGGCGGAGGTCAGGGTTCCTAGTTTGTCGTTTTAATCTCAACCACGGTGACGCTGGAAGCGGGAGGGGGTGGGGGCGTGTAGAAAGCCCTTTGAATGCAGAAAAAACGAGCCCCCTTTCCCCGTGTATGAACTTCTCAGCTCTCACACTGTCCGTGCCTCTGGGCATCCGTCTTTGGGCAGTTTCAAAATGAAAGGGGGGAACAAATGTCTAGCGAGGCCGTGGTGGGGCAACCAGCAATCGATTTCTTAAGGTGACAATAATGCCCTTGTTCTCCCTCAATTAATTGGGGAGAGACCCTTGAGCACTCCCCCAAGGCACCCCAACGCCGCCCTCTGGGGTGTGGGGCGGCGGCCGCGATTGAACCTGCGTTTGCGGGGCCTGGGGGAAGCCTCGGAGCAGAAGGAAGGTGCGGAGCGGTTCTGGCCTCACACGGTTTTGGGAGCGGGCGGCCAGAGGCTCTCCAAGGGCCTGGCCTTTGGGGAGCAAAAGGGGGCGAGGGGCTGCTGCTCGCTCCTTCCTGTTCTTGGAAGCCAGCGGCGACTTCAAGCCTCGGAAGGTGGGCTCCCCCGGGGCAGATTCCTCAAACCCAGCCCACACGCAGGCCGCGCCCGCCCCCACCTTTTGGGGTGAGGTGGGGGGGGGTCTTTCCTGTGTTGCTTCCTCCAAAGGGCCCACTGAGCAGCGACCTTAACTCCGAGCTCTCGAAGGGAGGACCCAGAAAAGCGCTTCCTCGGAGCGCTCCCCACGGAGCCGGGGTCCGGCCCGCTTCCCCGAAGGCCCCGGGCGCAGCCGCTCAGTCTCCGCTCGGGTCTCCGGCCGGGAGCGCCGCGGCCTCGGCCCGTCCGCAGCCCGGCGGATTCCCTCGGGCCTGGGAGTTCGAGGCTGGCCCTTAGGGGAGGGCCTGGCTCGCTCGGGGCTCCTGGGCCAGGCGGACACACCCCGCGGGCAGCAGGAGAGCTGGAGGTGGCTGCGGGCGCCTGGCGCACCCCAGCCTCATTGCGCAAGACGGTCGCAGTGGGCGGCCTGAAGTGTAAAGGAGAAAAGAAAAAACACGTCCCCAACAAGGTAAAGTGAGAGCAGCGATGGCTTTAAAAGTTTTACGATTATCTTATCCCTCTGACTACAATTCGAAACAGACAAAGCCGAGGAAGTCTGTTTAGGAAATCTGCAATATTCAAGGGACAAGACAGTCTTGCCTAGGGTTCGCTCATGGGCTCCGGTGCAGCTCTTCCAGGATGCGCCCCTGTTCCAGAACTCCCTTCCGCCCCCTCCTCCCTCGCGGTCCCAGAACAAAGCCCTGCGGCTGGGAGAGAGGGAGAATGGGCGGGCTTCCAGGAAAAAAGTCCCTGCTCGGCGAAAGGGCCCCGGAATCCAGGGCGAAACGGCCGGCGCCGCTCGCACCGCGGGGGCAGGGGGTGCGAACACCCGGCCCCGAGGCCAGGCCCGCGGGGGGATAACGCAGCGCTGCGCAAGGCGTGGGGACTCGAGAACCGCCCCAACCCGGGAAACTGAGGCTGAGACTGGGCACGCTTGACCCAACACCGAGCCCTCGGGACCGCACGACTTCCGGAGCAACCGGGGCTCCGCCCCCACCCGGCGCCCCGCCCCCGCCCTGCTCGCCCCGCCTACCCGCCCACTTCCCCGCCCGGGCGTCCTCCCAGCTGTCAGCGCCGCAGTAGTGGAGAAGTTTGCTGGCTGTTTTGCCGGGGACTAAACTCTAGTCGCTGAGTCAAGGCCCTTGGAGTTTCTGGGAGGGAGGGGGACAAGGGGGAGGCGTCTTTTCCAGGCGAGCCGTGGGCAGCGCCGCGCTCAGCGGCCAGCAGCAGGGCTCAGGCCTTGCCCACGGGTGGGTGTGCGGAGGGAACAAGGAGAACTAAAGCGCCGCGGAAGTTCCCCGGGCAATCTTTTCAGAGGGGTAGCGGCCAGGGGCACGCGGCCGTACCCCCATCCGGCTCGGTGGACAAGGCCAAGCTGGGTGAGCCAAGGAAAATCCCTCTTTCTCGGCAGACTGCTGAGGGGTGGGGGATTGTAGGCCAAACGCATTCTATAGAAACGCTCTTAATTCCTCTTGATGCAAAGCGTCAGGTGTAGTGTATGGGCACGTGTGAAACCAGTTCACTGAGGTTCACGGGGAGCGGAGAAGGGGCTCGAGTTCCATGCGTGGATGGGAGTCTTGTTCCCACGAGGTGATGGGGAGACTGCGGGGCTGGCTCACGCCTATGCCCCACATGGCGGTTCCGTGCGTGGGTTTCAGAGAGAGCCCCACGGCGGGTATGGCAATGGCTGTGGCAGGTCAGAGGCTTAGGTCTGCGCGTAATATTTACAGCCGGAGCCGAGTGAGAGCCAAACCGACCAGGTGGGCCGCCGGCCCAGCGACTGCGTCCGCTGGAAGAAGGGAAGGGCCGCTTTCGCCCCAGCTACGGCTCAGAGGGGCGCGCGATTCCTTTGCCCACAACCCCATGGCGCGTGGCGCCAGCTTCGGCTTTCCCGCACCAGAGCAACAGATGCGCTTGTGAAAAGGCTCAGTAAGGTTCGTCCCAGCAGCCCGCCGGAGGAGCACACGATGCCCAGCACGCCCACACTTGCTCACACGCGTTGTGCATGTTAGTAGACGCACACATCACAGGTAGCCTGGCGG